TTCTCAACAACGAGCGACAGGTGTCCAAAACAACTGGCCCTGCCCCCACTTTAAAACCTCATTTAAGAGGCTGGGAGTACTTCCTCACATCCTGACCTAAAACAACAACTATGAGCTGGAAGGTAAGGAGGAGCGGAGCGGGCCAAGTCAGGCCGGAACCCCCGAAATCCATCGCTTTTCAAAGGCTCTGGGGTGCACTCCGTTGGGAGATCCCATTCATCTACATCACGCTGAGATTCATTGTGCAAGCCTTCCATACTGTCCGTAAAGAGGTGCCGGACTCGGTGGTCGGCAAGCTGCCTGGGAGAACGTCCTCGAAAGTTGGGGAGGTCCGGATTGGCCTTGGCTGAAAGCAAGAACGACACCATCCGTTCGTTCCCGCATAGAGCCGCAAAGGCCAGCGGGCTGGAACCAATATTTGCAAAGAAGGAGGCAAACACGCCTGTCTGCCCCACCATGTGCGCTCCCCGGCATGACACTTCCAGCACGCGAAAAAACCCTCCTGAACGACCTTGGGCATTGACATCTGCTCGTGCAGTAACGAGAACGGTTGCTAGCTCCACGCCTCTAGCCTGCACGGGCCGGGAAAAGAAAGCTAGATTCGAAAGGGCTGGATTGCCAAGGCCTCCCGATCTGGCATTGACGTCTGCACGCAGCTCTAGCAACTTGGCCACAACTTGCACTGGTGGTGCTTTAGCACAACAGTACTGAAGCGGGGAGTTAAAACTCAGCCCTGTGCGCAGGTTCACATCGGCACGGTTCTGAACCAAGAATTCCACTGTGCTGGCATCTGGGCTGGTTCCCAGCAGCGAGTTGCCAACCGAATCAGTCGCATTGGGATCTGCCCTCAGTCTGAAGAGCTCTGCAAGCATGGGCAGCGCGCGCGAGCCACGTTGTACCGCTAAGTGCAGGGGGGTCCAAGCCAAGACGTCGACGCTGAGCATTGGCCGGCAGAACACGTGCATGGGGGCCTTGGCCTGTAGGAGTCTCCACACCATCGGCACGTTGTCTGAGAGGATCGCGCACGCCAGGGCACCCACATCTCGAACCCGTAGCCCTTCTGCCAGGTTTCGGAATCCGAAGTGTTCCAGGAAACATTCTTCACTCTCTTGAAGATGTTGAGCTTGGCCACCACCCCAGTCGTGCAACCTCGCTTTCAGGTATCTGCAAAGACCCGGCTGAGTCTTGTGCTCCTCAAGACAAGAGATGCGAGACTCTAAAGAGATCTGAACCATGTGCTGGACGGCACTCCGATCGCTTTCCAACGAGAACTCCCCCTCGTAGGGGCGCAGGTAAATCCAGTGTTGAGCCATGACAAACTCGACATCATCCTCGCCATGCACGGCAATCATGGGCAGGCTGCTTCTATTGGCCAGCTGTGCACACCAAAGCTCAGCCAAACACCATCCTCTGCGACACCAGGACTCGTAGTCACACAGGTTGCCAGACTCGTGAGGAACCCGAGGGACTAAGGACACGAACACATTGCAAGAGTCAACATAGGATGGTATCGACTTGATGGCTCGGAGCCGGTCAGGACCGCGCTTCTTATCTTGCGGAATGCAGAACCAGTCCAGCCAAACATACCCATCCCGAATTGCTCTTCGCTCATCGGCGGAGAACATACGATTCCCGTGGAAGAATGTAGTGACCACATCTGTTTCCAGCCGGAGCGCACCGGAAATGAAGCCACGCACAGCATGCTGGAGTACTGCAAGCTGCTTCCCCTCCGGGTCCGGATGGTGTCTTCCCAGCCACTGATGCGAGACGAAGATGGTGTGGAAACTCGACTCATGCAGAATTACCTGGCCCGATTGTAGGAGCTGTTCATGCGGGTGCATGGGGGCTCGCATCTCTTGCAGCTCCGACATGCTGACGACCCACATGGGGAATTTCTGTTCATGGCATGAGCCGCCATGATGGGACGCCTCTACAGCTGCCATGGAAACTCAGCCAAAGCCCAACCTACGGCCTCTTGCCAAAATGGCTGGCGGCGGAGCAGATGAGGCCACAAAAGAGCAAAAAGATCACAGCTGCAACTTGAAACTCCAGCTTGCACGGTGACTCAGACGCATTGTTCGAGATCATCGAAAGTGCTGGGCAAACTCATGTTCGAGGGATTCGCTCCTTGCTGTCTGAGTCGGAAAACCGCTATGTTGGGGCCACAGGGGCATGGCCTGCTGCACCTCCACCTGCAGCTGCTTGCACCTTGCGAATACTGATTGTGATAGTGATAGCACGTTATTTGTTCTGCTCATGGTCACAACAGATCAGACTACAGACTGCACGAGCGAAAATGAAGAAAGGAGATAACCAAATGCGCTAAGTAAGTAGTACCGTTGACAAGGTGTGGAGCCAACGAACGCCGTGGGTTTGGTGGGCTTTGGGCGCACAGGCGGGCCCTGTAGTTAGGATGGTGTCGTGGCTCGTGGGACATTCACGTATGTGACTATGATTCTCATCATGACACGTACCTTCATCGCTAGCCCGCTGGCGGTTCTACCGTCATCAGTCTTGTTGCCATCACGGCTACATTTGTGTTCATTAGGCTGTATATGCATCTGCTGTGGAGCCGCTGTCCATCTTTGTGTTTATAGGTCTGGAGACCTCTAAACTCTAAATCACTTCGGGGACATTGTGCTTCTCCGGTCTCCTGAGCCAATCTCTCGGGGTCGCGATTTTGGTATGAAGCGTAGAGTGCTTGAGACGCAAGTGGTAGAAACTGCAGGCTGCCTGGTATAGCAGAACAAGTCTGCAGGTAATTGTCGATACTTAAGAGTAATAATTTTCCGTGAAAGGGATCTGGAGATAGACTTAGAACGCGGCAGATGGATAGATAGACAAATAGACAGACAGATTGATAGATGGCCAGTGGGGATTACGTGGCTCCTCCCTGACGATCACCGTGAGCTCTGCACATTAGTTTGGGGAGGAGCCTGCGCATCCTGTTGAGTTGTTGTGGAGACTTATCTGCGAATCCTCTCTCATCTCAAGGCAACTCTCATGCACGCCTGTCTTCTGCCTCGCGCTTGGATGAGTGCAGGGCACCCACCTGGCGTTTGTTAATCCGTGTTTACATCTTTTGGAGCGAAAACAGTCTGACTTCATTTGGGCCTTGAGAAGCACGCCGCTGCAACTCAGACGGAACAGAGGGACAAATTCCTCGAGCACTTTAACCTCCCTTTGTTTCAGGACCATGCTAACAAGAGAACGCCCCGCCATTTCCGAGCAGCGGCACACTCGTTTGCAACTTCCGATCCAAACCTGGATCAGACTGAACCCATAACCTTACAGATGCGGAAGATTTGGTGAGCACCAGCCGGATTTGAATCGAGTCTCCGTAATGCAGGTTCCCATACTGCCAAAGTTCACAGGCTGTGGCACTCTGATGCAACCCATCAACTGTGCGCGTGCATAGTCTTCTACGAACAGCACATGCGAACAAACCGCGCAGCAAATATGCAAAAATCACACTGTGCCAGAACCAGCTATTCATGGCCGTTTGATAGGATTGCAACCCAACCTAGGAAGCATGCATCACAGCTTGAAGCGGCATGTCACCAATCTAAGGGGTCTGTCGCTGCCCCAGTATCATGTTCTCGTCAGGGCAACCCCATGCTTTCCATTTTCAATTTGGCAATGGCTCGTGCCGTGGCCTCATCTTGGAGCTGTGCCAGCTTCTGCTTCAGGGCCTGAACACAGAAAAGGGAGATGGGACACTGTGCTTAGCCCTCAGGTTCATGTACAATGTACCGTTTCCGATAGACATGTTCTTCTTATCAGGCGGCACATGCGGTTAGTCACATCATGCTCTTGGGAGATGTGGGTATCCGGCGTCAAGTGCTTGCATAAGGACCGCCAGCTACAGAGACAAAGACTAAGTGAACTCGCGTGGTTCTTCTCAACAAATCGTCTTTGCCAAAGAATACGATGACATTGCTCAAAACTGGAGTGCCTCTGACGGTACATATTCTTAGAGCAGCTTTCTGTACTAAGAACAAAAGCATGGACTGGAATCTGGATGAGTTTTTGGCGCCAACACTGCTGTCTGAGGCAGACTCTCAATCTTCCAGTAACTACGAAAGTCACTAGTCTTGCGTAGGAGCTCGGGCAGCCAAAGACCTGCGATACCCGATACACCTAAACCTTCTACTGAGCAACCAGCGCATGAGAAGCGAGCACATACCCACGAAATGTACTACAACTGGAGCGGCATGATGTGCAGAACCGAGACACTGCGCATCGGATGTGGTGGGAGGACTGAGATGCTGCAGAGGCCAGCATTCCGACGTCATATCAACTGCACAATTCTGCCATCAGAAAGGCACTTCACCCGACGAAGCAACTCAATTTTGTCTATGAGGTCGACGCGATGTCGCGAGAGCAAATTAAATCAACTCCGAAGCAAGACAGGCCGTGAACAAGGCTAAGCTGAATCTAGTATGGTTCCTGTCCTCATAACCTAATGTTTCACTCAATGCAAGCTGCAAGACAAACAACCGCCGTCAAACTAGCTTAGCTTTCGCACATACCGCGAAGACGAAGCAATGACCGCAAACAACCATGTGCAAACCCACTGGGGCTCAGTCCCGTCTCTCCTGCTCTTGGTCCCTATCCGCCGACTGAAGCCGTTGCAGCTCCTGTTCCTTATATAAACACGGCACGGTGCGGCACCATTGCTTCCAGTATGTTTCTCAATACTCTCATCAATGTCATGGTCATCGTCATCCTCTTCATCATGGAAGAGTTTGCATTGCCTGACCTGCTCTGGGATCGAGTTGTGCAAATGCGAAAGTGGGATCGGGACAGCTCGCAGTACCCCTCCAAATTCTGGCCACGTCACAATGCTCGACAGGATCAAGGCACCGTTGGCCTCAGAGTGCAGCTGCGAGGGCCGCGAGGGCTACACGGCTACTGCTCTCAGCTCTGCAGTTCCGCAGGCCTCCTCGTCCCAGGCGATGCCATATCGGGCGCAGAGTGTGCGACTTGCGCTCCGGAGCTCCTTCACGGAGGAAGCGTCGGGCGTCGGGCGGCAGTTCAATACGGGGACGGAAAGCTTTGGTTTCCCGGCGAGAGCTTAGCATGGAGGCCCAGCGCACAAATCCCAAGACTCGTCTGTAATGCACGTAGGGTCAAACCCCTGCCCCTCAATACTTGGCTCAGCATGGGAAGCAAACAGCAATGACGCTCCAGGTCTTTATTGCATGTCTTCGAATATCCTACCAAGTTGGCCGAGAAGGTCCAACCAGGCGCAAGTCCACTTGGTCGAAAAGGCAGCCGCATCTCTTCATTGGAGAGTGCAGACAACGAGCACTGCAAGTGCAGCATGTCATGCAGTTTGGGGAGAGTTTGGATGGAAGACATCGAATCCAACCGGACCTCATGGAATGTTGCTTCTCCCTGAATAAAGATCTCTAGATTTCAGACCAGCGCGAGCTCTTTCTTGAAAACCCTTCGCTCGGCCTCCACACCCCTATGCCTACTTGGGCAGGAAACGTCCAAAGCTGCCCTGCACAGCCACTTCTCCAGAAACTTACGCCGCGTCTCTCCGTAGCCCGGCCTGGTAGGCCCGGGTGGCATCGGAGTTGGCTGTCCTCTCCTTCCGTCCGAAGGCTTACAAGGCTGACGAATCTAAGGATTCGGTATCGGATGTGCCTTTGTTATGTCTCAGTTTAGAAAGTGCTTGCGTTTCCGAGCGTGTGCATCCTGGTTTCAGCGCGAACTATGTCAATAAACACTTTTCTGAAGTTTGCTCGAAACTTCAGTATGACAGATCTTGGCCCTGGATCCTGCTGGCAGATCTCTTCCAGCCGGGAGAGCTCTCCTTGGAGGTCCTGCAGATGGAAAAATAGCACAAGACAAAGCATGAGAATGAAACCAACTACCTGTAGCATCCCCTGCCGGAACCTTCGATCACAGCTGGTGGGACGCGGGAGCCGAATTTCGGATGGAAACTCTGACTGATTCAGTAGATGCTTGGAGTCTGTTTACACACCAACTCTACCGATGTTCAGGCTCCTCGACTCGCGCATCGTTGCGCTGGTCCTCGCCGCAATGCACGCGTAGGAAACAAACGCGCGCTTGGGTGTTTTGGTGCCTGCAATGGTTTGAGGACGGCTATAAGCCCAAACAGTGGCCGGGGATGCCACCATAAAACAAGACACATACATGGGCCAAGTCGATTCCAGGGAATGTGCTTCCAACTGAAGGTTCGTTCCCAACCAATCGTAGCCAGCAACCAAAGAAGGCTGTACTCAGCGCAACTTGTCTCAGGACGTTCCCGCTGAGAACAGCGAGCATCATTGTCTCAGAGCGATCTTCCAAAATTCTGTGGCTCTGGGTGCTTCTGTGTCGCGAAAACCTCGAGTGCAATGGACATCCATCCTCGCTGTGACCTATTTCTGCGGTCAGAACAGCGCCTGAACGATTTCATGTTGGGCCTCGGCCATTGAAGTTTGCAAACATCAGTGCTTAGTGCGGGCTGGAATGGATTTTTGGAAGCAGCGCAAGCCAGTGTTCGCAAATTTTCGGAGCCCTCGCTTGCTTGTGAAGCCGTAACTACGACGCACGAACCCTGAAAACTTGTTTGCTAGTTTTCTGGCGCATGTATGCAGATTGCTTGTAGGCCTTCAGATAACACTGCCGTATTGATGTACAGCAACAGGCCGTAACATACACAGCATGTAGGCTAGAGTCTGTGAGTCGCATGCCTGCATCTGGAAGCACGGCGGTCTTGCTAAACACACAGCCCTGCACAGTAGAGCAGGCAACAGCTTTTTCCTGCCAATTGGAAGCGGGAGAGGTCTCAAAGCAAGTTGTTCAGAGACACGGACAGCTGAAACGCCTGCACAATATCCCCTCTCACGGCTTGCACTGGCTGGCTGAAGGTGGCGGCAATGTGGCCTCCTTCAGGGAGCCCAAGCCTAAGCCATAGAATCAACCAGCCCTCTGCAGACCCCGAAGCGATTCACGATACTTTCTTCTAGGCATCCTGAATGCCGACAAGTGTCATCTCACAAGCTAGAACGTTCCAAGACTTTAACCGTCAATTGAAGAAATACCAACTCCACACCCCAAACCCAACAATCCGCGGAACCACTCGAAAATCAGCCGACTCAGCAAAATTTTCGATCACTTGCATTACAGCCATCCACCCTTAGTCATCCAGTCCGACAGCTTGCATCGAAGCTTGAGGTGCTCCCTGAAACAGATTGCTATGCAACCCTGACTGTCTGACTTCATCCTTCTCTCCCCTCTCACCCTCCGCAACAAAGCACCTCCAGGCAGGGGACAGCCCAGGCCCATTCCCAAAGTTGCTCGTGTGTTGCGGAGGACATCCCAGGCCTTCGAAGTCTGCCTTAGTATCCACAACATCCCATAAACGAAGTGTGAGCAATAATAACGCTACTAAGCATCGCCATTAGTAAGGGTTTAGCGTTGACGGCTGTATGGCTCCGAGGTTAGAGCCCTCACTAACTTCGGAGGATGTGTTCTAGGATTCGGGTTTACAAGTGCAGGAGAGGAGTGCACGGAAGGAAAAGGCCAGAAGCGCCAGACTACAGGGAGGAGACTGAATGGAAAGCAGATGATGCAGCTCAATTTGACGAGTTTCCTTGAGCTAATCCTGCCGTCTTTTACGAACTTTCACACCGCTTGCACAATGGACTTTTGAAACAAGTGCTTTTCCAAGTGTGATGTGACCTTTTCTCAGCACCTGGAAGGATCGCTCAACCATGGCAGTCGCTTCCCTTTTTCGGGATCTTGTTGTTATTCTCGGTTGGACAACACTTTCTTGTTCGCATACAAGCTCCCAACAATCATGCCAATATCGATCGACAAGAGCTGACCAGCTTTCTGGCTTCTACCTTCGTGAGCTTGCGTCTCACGGTGTTTCGAAGCCCTGAAGACAAGTTAGAACGCAAGTCGGAAGCGGCGATTAAAAGCGAGCGGCATTCGCTCCAGCAGAATGCCGGCCGACCCGAAGACAAAGACATGGAGCCTTGAGCGTGGCAGGGCTTGAACAGCAGCTGTAGCAACGAAAAAAACAGCTTTATGAACCAACCTCGATAGCACCTCCATTAAGTATCAGTGGCTTGTCCAAGGCTGTCTTTAGGTTCCTTGAGCATGCCTTCAAGCTGTGATGCGGCCGAAAAAGTCATTGGATTATCAGGCTGTGCAGACACCCATGACTTTGGACCGAGCTCAGACATGTGAGCAACGACGAGCTGAGTAGAGCAAAATGACCTTCGACTGCAAACCCACTGTGTAGCCAGTCCAGGTCCGCCGAGGTCCCCCCTCCTGAGGCTTGGACCCGAAACCCAATGGCACCGGCCACCGCATGGAACCTTCGCAGGGGGAAGCAACTGAACCATGGGAGCGTAAGCATCGATGAAATTCGATGGCTGCGAAGGTCAGCCTTTCTACAACTTATCCGCAGATCCGAAGCATAAGGCCCTCCCGACCCTCGATGCTGGCACGCGTGTCCCCGCCAAGGAATGTGGTCTGACCGGTCTCGATTCGGGTGGGCTCCGAAGTCGTATAGGTCCTGCTGCCGCAGCAAACTCAAAGATCATGCAACCTCAGCACTATAAGAAATTTATCCAAATCCTCCTCTGCATCATCCCTAGCATCACGGAGTGTTGATGAGATGGTGATGCTCGCGATCATCGCGATGCTCTTTGAAACCATCATCATCATCATCACCATCATCATCATCAGCACCCCGATGTGGAATCTGGATGGCCTTTGACTGGTTATGAACAGTAACCTGCACCCGGCCTAGAATCCACCATGGACGTCGTGGGATATAGTCTGGTACATGGCACGCAATTCGAACTTTACACCGGGAATTTCAACGACGTTTGAAGGACGATGGCTAGGAGCAAATGCTCACTCCTTGGAACCTTTCGGAGAACCCGACGTTCCTGCTGATGTGAATGTGCGAACTGATGGTGGTAATGATGGTAATGATGATGATGATTATGCGTTTCACTACTCACTATTCTGTCTCCTACAACGGACTGCAATCCTTCTTCTGTCTGTATAATGCTGTGCTTTCCATCGTCTTGGTGCTGTCCCTTCTGAAGATTCACTCCAAATGCTCACGAGCTTGCCCGTGTAAGTGCGGTTTCCCCTGCAGCCCTGGCACGATGGCCGGAGCTCTAGTGCACAACTTTCGGCAAAGGCCCCAATCCCAAATACTCGGGTACTGGTTCTACAAGCCTAAACCCCAAACGCAAACCAAAGACCGGGCCTAAACCCCACAAGCCTTCGTCGCTAAAGCCCTAACCTAAACAATCGCAAACCCTGAGCCTCGTACAACCGCGACACCCATCGCTCCTGAGCCCTCCCAAGCCGTTCACCAGGCCAAATCGCGGAGCCTGGATCAGTGCAGGGCGGTTGCCCGGGTTGAAGAAGAAGGGAAGCGAAGGGAACACCAGAGCCTTGCTCTCCAGTCCGGAGCTGCAACAGTTTCGAACCCGGCGCGCGGCAAGAAAGGAATACAACAAGTTCGTGCAAACTTGCGTGACCTGAGGCCTCAAACATGAAAAGATCGAAAAGCCCAGACCTCAGATCCTTGAACCTCCGAAACATGGGGCCTCCGTTTCCCGCTCCTTGCGTTTGGCCGGGCCCAATCCGTGAGGTCCGAAGCCAAGGAGTCTTTCCTCAGCACGTCCACAAGGTGCAGGAGCTAGGGGCCTGCTGGGCTCTTGCGGATCGATTTTCGATTCTCCGGCTTTTGCAGCGCAAGACTGGGCTTGCGGATAGCTGCAAAGATAGCTAGGGGAGGATTACAGACCTGGGAAAGAAGACTGGTAGATACCGTAGATACCCAAATAAGGTCCCCAGAGCCCTGAGCCAGTATCGGCGAAGTCTCCCCAGGACCCTGGCCTGTCACGCCTCCCAGGAAGAGCCGCTCCTTCCCGGAGAGCATTTCACACTTCTGGCTGTGGGGCTTCAGGGTTTCGGGTGGGACGAGGACTTGTGGGCTTGTGAGAAAATCTGCTGCTGCTCCATTCCCTCCTCCTCGATCAAACTAGAATGTAACTGTTGTAACTATAGAACGAATCAGAAGTAGCTCCTCCCAAGGAATGGTGGCTGCGTTGAGTGGTGAGGCCAGGGCTCCACTTGCAGAGACCTGCTTGGAAACAAGGGGAGTTGGGACGCCAAAGGCACTGAACCCTGAAGTTCAATTGGGTCGTGTTGACTCGGTCTGGTCTGAGGTGAGAGCACTTTGGGAAAAGTCAGAAATGGGCGAGGGCGCCGACATCTGCCGTGCCGCACCTGCCAGGCGGCGCCCAGGCCGCTGCCCCAGCGAGCCCAAGCCGCTTCAGCTCGTGCGACCTCTGCCAGGGCGCAGTCATCAGAGCTCTGCAGCTCCAAGAAACTGTTTCAGATACTGAAAGACTACAGAGTCAAGTCGTGGCCAGCAACTAGGTCGCAGCGGGCGTGAGAGGAAAAAACGCATGTTTGTAACCACCCATTTTGCCAATTTCTTCGAGTCTGACGAGTATGTTGAAGTTTGGGAGTTTCGTAGCGAAGCCGAAGAGGCAGAAAAACAAGGAGCCCAACCACCTACGACCCGCAACATCCTTCGGTGCACCTGGACATCGCCAAGGAGACCGGCAACTTCACAGGATGCTCCCAGCTGACCACCATCATCTTCCCGTCCGTAGCTGTTCCTGGGCTCTTCACATCGGTGAACTCCAGTATTCTGCCTATAAGTACGATTGTCGCTTACTCTCCCAGCAACAGAGAAACCACTTTGCCGGGCAATGCTGGTACCGCGATGCAGCTGTTAAGTGTTCCTGAATCTTGGCTCGAAGCCTGATTCACTGTTTCCCATCGAGCAACGACAGTTTCACACTGCGATGCCTTGCAGTCGGCCGGAGGATCTGCACCCGTTAAAGTGGGTTCTCTCTCCGCCCCCATAGTGCTGCTGCTGATACAACAACTACTACTGCTATTGTTACTGTCACCAAACTTCGTTGTCATGCCAAGCATGCAGGGACAAACAACAACAACTGGAACGTCCGCTACTGCCTCACTAAACCGTCGTGCACTGCAAGGGAAGGGTTAGCGCACCTTGGGCTCAACCCTTGGGGTTGGGGTCGTGGTCAAAGCTTTCGCGCAACACTTCCAAAAGACGGAGGCTCAAAAACTGATGGGACACCGATGCCTTCGAAGACTGCAGTGGCACGTCCAGGAGCGATGCATCTTGCAGTCGCAGGTCCCGAGAGGAAGCACGCAACCGAGTCTTGTGCCTCCCAAGTGGATCTGTCAAGCAGACCTGGGGCTCACTCACTTTAAACTCTGCGGTAGTTCAAGCATGATGTGCTTCTCTTGTAGCGATGATGAGATGATGCCGGGTTCCACCATGTATGACATGCTTCGCAAACATATAGAAGACACATGCATTGAGCAGCTGCTGTACTGAAGTATAATATGCCACGTGGCCGAGAAGCAACAACTGCATATTTGCATGTACAAGCATATCTACACACACCACAGCACTGGCAGATGCATCTACGTACGTATGTGAGCATACACACACACACACCCACACGCGCGCGCATGTGTTGTGTGTGTGTGTGTGTGTTCGAAGGATCGAATCATGCCGTACTCCATATGTTGGCACCAACTACCATCAATTTTTCATGTGCTCGCTTCTTATCTCCACGCCTATTCATGCATGTGTAGAAGAGCTGCAGTAAGTGCTTATGTACTTATGTCGTATACGTGAAAACATCTAGCAATAGTCAACACGTGCACAGAAATTTTCAAGTCAAGCATTTTCGCAATCAAACCACACACTGAATGTCATGACAAAGCCGACTAAGCGTGGTTACGTAAGTCCATGCGTGCACGCATGGAATGATGGATGGAGACGGATGCGTATGTCAAGGAGGTTCAGATAGCTTCCGATTTAGAGGTGTTTGCGTTGCTTGCGTTCTTGGATTCGGGGATGCGAACAGTCTTAGTTTTTCTATCTTTCGAGGTGAAGGTCAACCACAGAGGCAACAACAGACAATACAAAAGCGCTTCCGATGCTATTCGGAATCCGGGCACCTGGAGGTAGCTGTGCTGAGATGCCGGGTGTATGAGGCCGAAGAGCCCGCCAAGACCAGCACCCATTTCTACGCTGGGGAGGAGGCGCCATGCGCCAGTCCCGAACAGGGGGGCAACCGTAAAGCAGCAGCCCAATCCATCTTGCCCCAGATTCCACTCGCCTTGGGCAGAAACCCGAAGGGGAGGTGGGCCACTTGCAGCAGCCGGTGTGCCGTCGAGCTTGAAGGACAAAGCAGATCCGGGCAACATCACCTCCCGGCCGCCCCGTCCAGCCCCTGCAGTGAGGTGGCCGCCGTGCTCTGGGCGGAGGGTGACGCATATTATGCCTTTCCGCGGCCCCGCCGTCACCTCAACGATCGCTTCATCCCCGAGTTCGTCGGCCACTGCATTGAGATCTGCATCCAACTTGCCCAGTGTCGGAGGCCGCTTATTTATCCTTTCAGCTGCGCGCAGGGCCCGGGAACGCATTTCGCCCTGCAGGCCATCGACGTAGACCCGGACATGCTCCACCGGTGTGTCGGCCGAGACATAGCGGGGCGCCATCCCGCCGGGGATGCTCGGCTGATTTATTGAACCGCATCTGCAAGCATGCAAAGAAGCTTCTCAATTTCGTGGAACAAAAACACGGGCTGACATGTGCAACCCAACCGTGTCATGACCTTGCAAGCATACTGTCTATTCCGAACCACGCCCCTCAGTCCTCGGCCTGATCCAGAGTTGTCAAAGTCTTCCTGAGTCGCAGGCAATTCCGAAACGAAGGATTGTTCCTCCATGTCGTCTGTCTCTCTATTCTTCTCCTTGTATTGAATCAACTCCAGAACCGAGTCCTATATCTGCGGCATCAGGCTTGCCTTGAGAAACTAGATGAAGTCCGAATGCCCATGTTTGGGCGAAGACTGCGTAGGCAGGTCCCAACCCATTATTCCAAAAAGTAGCAAGGGTGCACCTGTCCGGAGCAACCCAGAACCACAGTTCACAGCATGCAACAACAGCAGGTTCACCATCATCAGCACCACCCACAATCCCGCAGACTTTATAAAGTGTAGTTTTATCATCTGGAGGAGCCTGCAGTTTCTGAATCCCAAGTCACCCCCGCAAGGACCCACACGGCGGCATTGCCACCTGATCGCTATATAGGGAACAATCAGAGGACCAGCAACATCCAGATTCTTCCAAGCATCGCCAGATGCCGCTGCGCCTCAGTCGCAGCCTGCTGGGCCTCCTGGCTCGCCTGCTGCAGCTGGGCCTGATCTGAGGCAAATCACACGCATTGTCATGGCACCGGATCTTGTACCGCAATTGCTGGCAGTGCGATAGCTGTTGTCGTCGTCGTCGCCTTCTTCGTCGTCGTCGTCGTAGCAGTAACAGTAGCAGTAGCAGTAGCAGTAGTTGTAGTAGTAATAATATGTTGTAGGTAGTGGGTAGTATGCAGTATGTAGTATGCAGTATGTAGTAGTAGTGGTAGTGGCAGTGTTAGTGGGAGTGACCTGGTAGTAGTAGTCGTAGTAGCGGTCGTAGTAGTCGTAGTAGTTGCAATTGTAATTGTAATTGTTGTTGGTGCTGTTGCTGTTGGAGTTGCTTTTGGTTGTTGCTGCTGCAGTTGCCGTCGCCTGCAGTTGCTGTTGTTGTCGCTGCTGTCGCTTGGACGGAGTCCACTTTTGAGTCGCTGAGACCTCTCCCAACTGAGCCAGGTGGAGGCTCCATATTCGACTCTACCACGAGTATGTGCGAATCTCCACCTGCAACTCGGCCAAGCGTAGCTCTGCTTCGCGCTGCTTCAGAGAGGCCTGGCGTCCAGCGACTGGGCGGGCTTGACATCTTGGACACTTGGGTGGAGGCCCGTTGACAAAACGACTTCCAGAAGGCTATGCTCAGAAATCAGCAAGCCAGCTCAGCTACCTCCTATTCGGATACAGTCCGTGCCTCATGCTGCACCTCTCTGATCCTCACCTGGGCGCTGGCACCGGGCCGGGCTGGGCTTATGCCCCAAAGTTGCGCTCCGATTCTTCTTCGTCGCAGCCCAGTGGCCTCGGCCTCAGCTTTTGCCCTCTCCGCCAGGAGCTGGCGCTCCGCCTCACTCCGCTCTCGGATCTCCTGGCGAAACGGGAAAAGCGAAGCTTCAAAACATCAATAGTCATGATCACTACAACCACTACAGTGAACGCATCATATATAATGTTTCATCTACTGACTGTTCCCCGCGCACTAGTGTCTTTGAGGTAGTGTTTAGGCTTGCAGGTTCAAGAATTGCGCATGCACCTGCCAGCATGGGCACCAGGAACCTTGAGCGCATGTCCCAAAATATCGATGGACCCATTTCCGATCTTCGACCTCGCAACACTTGGTAGGCCAACTAGGATGTCAGCAAAATCGCCTTGGGAGACAGTGCTCGGGCTTTGCAAAGAGCACACTTGGCGGCAGGTTCATACACAGCTGGCGATGACGACGATGAAGATGGTGCTGATGGCAATCAGTGATGTTGACATCTTCCCACGTCTGCGATGCTAGCATGGACCTGGTTGACCGCCTGCTACTACATTTCTGTCCGGAACACGAGCTGGCTGTGAAGGACTTGCAGGATGGGGCCCATGTGTCAATGAATGTGTGCTCGTCTCTGCACAAACCTTCGCATAAGTAGACTCCAAATAGACAGGACTCGAAACTGGACATAACTAAATACATGAGTATAGGTAGATAGCTAGCTAGCTAGATAGACAGAAAAATATGCAGCCAAGCTATACACAAACACAAACACACACACACACACACACGCCCGCACACATCTGGAGACGGACACACACACACACACATGCATGTGTTTGCCTGTGTGTGCACGTGTGAAAACGATGCATACACGTGTATGTATGTTGTATTATGAACGCATGTATTTATGTATGTCTGTATGTATGTATGTAAGTAACTACGTATGTATGTATGTATCTACGTACCTACCTGCCTAGCTACCTATCCACGTACCTATCTACGAACTTATAGAAGCGAGTTCACCCATGTGCACACGATGCGAGTGTCTGTCACCTAACTTGCCTGTTTGCGGTCAGGAGTAGCTCCTTCTCCCAATTACGGTGGTAGAATAGGTGGTAGGTAACAGTTGTATACTTGTGTCGAACGATAGAACTGGCAGCTGCTCTCACTCCCTCGGCTGCTCGGTGCAATTCCCAAGCGATCGAATTGCAACTGTTCGTGCCGGCAGGCTCCTGGAGCTGCGCCTGCAGGCGGAGTTGCCGCTGTTGGGTGTGGCAGCGTCCGATTCAACTTTCATCTGGAGCCCGGGGTCTGAGCAGTTCAAGCGTTGCTCCCAGTTTCGGATGGTCTTGAGTCTGAACCAAAACACGGACCAAGTGCAGCGAAACTTTGTCGATGCTGTGGCAAAACACCTCGGGACAACAAGCCAGACAGAGGTTGGAACTCCCGAACCGAAAATTTGCACAGAAGCGAAGGAATCCCAAAGCTCTAAAACCTCTAAAGCAGGAAACCTGGGCCGGATGTGCAAAGACGAGACTCAAGAAGATAGGTCGGATTGCACCGATTAGGCTTTCCAAAAATTCCAGCTACCGGCACCACCAGCAGACTCAAAGGCTTCGGAACCACGAAGCTCAACCTGAATCTTCGGCTTGGGGAGGCTACAGCTCGAAAATGGGTGAGGGTTTTGCCTGGTGCTGGCTCCGCACATTGTCCATGAGCTCCATTTGGGCCTGGAAGACCTGCTGCTGGTTCCTGGCAGCTTCTTCGAGCCAGCCCCCGCGCAATCCTTGAAACGTGCCGACTGCATAATTAGATTGCTTCCGGTGAAGACTGCCGCATTGTGGCTCACATCTGTTCCCAAGAGCACCATGACAGGTATGTCGAAACGACGTGAACATTCAGAGCTCCGCAGCTGTAGCATGGCTTTCTTCAAGGTGCTGTGTTCAGCCCGACCGAAATTGAAAGCCTAATATAGCCTTAACAAGCTTCATCCACGTGCTGCAGCCGACAAATCTCAAACCCTAGCTCGTCCATCCAAACCCGAGCCACATGTGATTGTAGAACACCTAGAGAAGTTCAACACCAGACCCTCATGCTCCCAGCCCTCCCGGGATCAAAGGCCTCGCGGCTTGCTCGAGCATCTCAACCTGCACTCAGTTTGATGTGTCGGTATGCTTGGTGTTGGGGTCATGATATTTCGCCTCATTCATGGCTTGGCCGACGATGTTAAGTGTGGTTGCTATGACAGCGAGCAGATGAACCCCAGTCAATCATGAGATGCAATAGAACCGCGGTATACCAAGTTGCAAACTTCACTGCAAGCACCCGCAAAAACACTACACCAGAAATGGCTGATTAGCATGTTTCTTTCTTCTAGCTGGCTCTGACAGCCCTCACTTCTCCTCCACGATCTCTCTACGCATCCCTGCATCCCTCGCTTTTTTTGTCTGGGGGGGTAGCATCAACAGAGGAAGCATCATAGGCATGCGTCGTTGGTCTGTTGCAGCTTTGCCAAACCTGGCTGCTTGTCGACAAAACCCTTCCAGCGGCACCGCCAATGCACGATCAAAGCATGTCTGTCCAGTTGTCGACACCGAGCAGTCCTTTGCATGATGACAAAGCAACGGGACGCCCACCGCCACATCCACTAATCAAACAAATCGTGGTTCCATGTGCTCTGACGGTGAGCTTGTCACGGCAGCCTTATATAGCTCTGCCGTCTGATGCCGTCTTGTCGCCCTCAGAACTGAACTCTGACGATGTAGCGACCTGGCCTTCTCCTGGCTGTGCTGAAGCTGTCTTGCCAAAGGCTCCAGCTCTGTGCACCTGTCATCCCAAAGGCTCCCATGCCTCTTGCAGCTTGGCTTCTCTACGCGACTACGATCCACGTCAGCAGCCCCATCAACCCCGAACCAACAACTGGGCTCCACAGTCGCTAAATCAACAGGGTTCGCCGCAGCCGCAAGCCAACGCTGGCGGTAAACCTTCGGCCTCACATCCAACGTCCTAAGCCACATCACAAGCCGGCATTTGCAGCCTCTTCTGGCTCTCGTCCAAGGCAGCTTTCAGCCTCAAGCCACATGTTCTCTCCCCGAACTCGGAGAGTCAATGGTTGTTTCTTCGAAAAAGCATGATCACGAATGCGATGATGATGCAGCCACTTCTGGCAAGGAAGCGGGTGGTGATCGGTAGACTGTGCCCACAGAGATCACAAGATCTTGCGGCTTCGGGTCCAGGCGAGCAGAAAATGATTTTCCTCTTCACATGAACCGTGGCCTGAACCCGTCGAGCCTTTGATTCTGCTCCATTTTCGACAAGTTCTGTAGTAGGGTGCCTAGGGCCTAGTCTCAATTCCCAAGCTCCGAGTCCCCTCCTTAATTGAGTCAGTAGACCACGGAGCACATAGATCTTGCCACCCCGTGAGTCGGGGACGTGTCATGACATATGTAGCTTGCAGATAAGTGTTGAAGGAGGCTGCGCTTCAGGACGTGAACAAAAACCATCAAGTTCTGAACCCAACCAGTCACCCTGGGGCCTCTCGACCTCTTCCTGCAGGGCCCGAGCTTCGGAACCTGCACGAAGAGTGAGTGCGTGGGTTTCCTTGGCTTAATGAAGAGATGTTGCAGTGAGGCCCGCCTGGCTCTGAGGGCAATTCCCTGAAGCCAAACTTTGGAGCTTCCGCAACGGCAGGAAAGAAAGCTACGCCGCTACGCTGCTACTTCATGCAAGACCTGTGGCTCTGCTCATCTCGAAGGTCTCCCCAGAAACACCTCGAAGAACCCTGCCGAGGAGCCTTTCTCTTCACTGCCCACGGCCGTGGGTGTCGGAATGCCGGCGAAGGCCTCCAGGTTCTTGGACGCCGTCGGCGTCTCATCCTCCTCATGATACTCTCCAGCGGAGTGAGAGGATGCAGCGAGTGATTGGCCAGCTGCGCAGACAGTGGCATCAGGATGTCGGTCAGGAAACATGTACATGCACAGATTTAATTAGGTGTGCATGCGGTACATGCCGGTGTACATATCGAGATACATTGTATGAGCTGTACTCGGACCTGGCACTAAGGCAGTCGCCATACAGGCCTTCGCATGCCTCACTCATATTCATATACCAGGCAGGTGTGTGTGTGTGCATATATGTATTTGAATGTAAATATATATATATATATACATACACTTACATACATACATACATACATACATACATACATACATACACACACACATACATACATACATACATACATACATACATACATACATACATACATACATACATACATATACATTGACACATGCCCAACATACGTATAGATCGACAAAAACTGTTGTAGTACAGTGTTACCATTGGAGCAATCGCGTTTGCATCCTCCCAAGGGTCTGCGTCTGCATCTGAAGATTGCTCTCCCTTGTTGAGAAGGAAGTCCTGCATTGGGCAGGGGACATCAACCAGCTACAGTATACGCTGCAAGACTCTGCAAGACTGTCGGAAGTCCTCCAGCCAAGATTGTGCTGCTGCCTTAACAGACTTGACTATATGTTGCAATTCCATGCAACGAGTGGTTGGCAGCTGGTTTCTCTAGCTCTAACATGCAGCAACAACTTGTCTGCGACCGGGCGGCTTTCGAGCTGTCCCCGCAGCTCTCAAAAAATCTCATGAGCTCGCTGTTGGACACGTATGGCCTCAATGGCCGAAGCTCAGGAGCCCCGGATCTGGACCACTGCTGGCATTGCTCATTGCTCGATGCATCAAGCGCCACGAATCGCTTCGCTGACCCCGGACTGCCCTTGCGGCGAAATCGAGTCAAGCGAGGGGCACCACGTCCCGTGCGGAGGAGCCCGATACCTCAGCTAAACAGAGCAGAGGACCGTCTGCGATGAAGATCTGCAGACTGACATCACGGTATGCATCGAGCACATGCCGCCATACAAGAGCTTCTAGTATCGCCGGTCTTCTGAGATCTCGAAACCCATCGGCAACGTGTGAGACCCCTTCGGGCCTGTCTGATCTACATCACCACTGTCTCGAAGCCCAGGTTCAAGCTGCCCGGAAAGCACGAGCCAACATGAAGCCTAGACTCCTCTAAGGCCCTTAATTCTGAGCAGCTCGAAAGGCCAAGCAACGTCTGCCTGCCACGGTTTGGCACCCAGCGCCAGAAGCCGCATTGGTGTCGGCAAGTCCTTGTCTATACCGACGTAGAGCAGCGCGGAATCCAGGACGTTGTCAGAAAAGCTTGTTATTTGTCGTTTCGGCGCTTTCGGGGTTTGCGGATACAAATGTCTGTGGCACAGCAACGATAACAAGATTAGATGATCAAAACGAGCTGCGTGTCATCTAGGCGGAAACCGATGGCGAAAGCGCCTTGAGCTCCTGAACCCTCCCGAATCCGGATGCAGGGATCCCAGCAAGCGAACAGAAAGGCCCCCAGACGGAAACCTGAGGTCAAGAATGTCTTCAATGATCGGAAAACATCCTAAACTTTCAATGAACCCCGAGATCTAAACCCTCACAAACATCCTAGATTCTTAGATGGACAATTCTGGAAAAGAACCCCCCCAATCGTCAGGACAGCTTGCAACCGAAGCACGGCAGTGCCGGAAAAAAGGGCACAAGCAATATGCAGGGGCGTCACGCGCTTCCTTGCGGCGGCGCGCTCCGTGAACAAATGCTCTTGACTGCTTTCTGAGGTTGTGTGGTGTTTCAAATTTCCAAGCATGCACAGATGGGGCAGGCGCATACTCGGCGTATTTTTGGACACAGCTTGCACGCGGCCCCCGGCAGCAATGTCCACACCGGCCACATCAACACCAATACATCCACATCCATGCCAGTACCCAGTACCCAGTACCCACATCAATTTTCAAATGCCAACAGAATAACATGCTCGCTTGACAGCCATACATATATGCGCGCATGTATGTATGCATGTATGCATGTGCTATATGTAGTTGTATACATATATACATAAATATACATGCATAATGCGCACCTGCATAAAAACCTATGACTTGTATGTGTATGTATACATATAGATGTGTGTGTGTGTGTGCATGTTACCCATGTTGTCCTTTTGCTATACGCAGCCGCGTGCATCAACACAGATAAGCACACAAATAGGTGAATAACAAGACAGTGACATTAATTTACATATGTGCACTGCAGTATGCTAATAAGACAACCCAAGCCAACCAAGTCAAGACATTTCAAGCAGAAAGCTCGAACAAAAGCATACCTAACAGGTAACAGAAGAGCTTCTGACAGAAGAGCCCAGCCCGTGTCTAACAGAAGAGCCTGTCTAGTACTGCAGGATCGGCAATCAATCATCAAACATGCGCTCCCCACATTTATGTCTTATATATACAGACACCATATGTATGTATGTACGTATGCATGCATGCATGCATGCATGCATGCATGCATGCATGCATGCATGTATGTGTATGAATGTGTATGTGTATGTATATGTGCTCATACGTATATGTACCCATACGTGTATGTACATACACGTACAAAATGCATGTTGAATATACAAAAAACCTGTACTTATACAAAAACATATGCATGTACACACATATACATGTGCATGTGCACATATATATATATATGCACATCTTCGTTTGTATATCTTATCTTTATAGATGTGCGTGCGTGTTTAGATCCTACTGTACAGTCGCGATTGCACTGCCAGCGCAAAGCTATGCAGATATGACGCGCCAGCCGAGTCAGCTGCAGTGACCCAAGCCTCTATTCCTACAACCTTGAAGCACACAGACTTAAACCCTCGAGCCCTGAACTCTGCAACACAACAATCCCCAGCGGAGCGTCTGATCACCTTCAGCAGCCAAGCGGGCAGCCTGTCCAACGACTGAGAAAAGCAAAACTTATAGCTTCAACTTCAAGTTCCAAGGAGACTCTAAGACACTCCCGGGGCGTGCCGCCCACTGTCAGTCAAGCGTGCATACTGCTCGCGACGTGCAGAATGGCATGAGGTTCTGACATGCTCCCGGAGTTTGGATCAGTGAGTGCAGCGCCTGAGGAGCGGAGGCCAACACCTCGACGACCTCATGCTGCTTGAAGTTAGCGGCCTGCATGGTGCGCCAATCAAGACAGCATAGGCATACAAGTTTGGCTAATTCACAAACTGCTCTGCCAAGGAAAGCGCACGCAACAGAGGCCTCCCAACAGTCTTGAAGCTGTGGGAGCCCGTATCAGAGATTTCTTCGCTGCGAAAATCTGCAAGCCACCCCTACACTGCGAGTTCACTGACCAGCCATCCGGCATCGTAAGCTTCTGGCATAGTGCAGGGCATTGCAACCTCAAAATCCATTGAATCACGAGTCAGGTCCGGCCATCGGCTCTGGACAAACCCGTTTACGCTCTGAGGGCTTCCATTGAACCGACATCACAGCGGCAAATGGTCCCGTCAGCCCAACATGTCGGCCGTCTTCGAGGTTCAGCTGCTTGCAGAGGCAGCATTCTCCCGGGGCATAAGAAAACCTTCCATACCTGATCCCAAATATACATTCTTGCAAGCAAGTTGCCCATCACATCATGCTGTGTCGGCTCCGCGGCATATGCCAACAGGAGCTGACAAAGCTCCTGGCAGGATCAGTGTCAACGTCTACAGCAGGAAGTCAGTCAATCGAAGCAGACTTGAAGGCTTCGAGTTCCTTGGATGTTGTTGCTGCCAAATGAAGCGGAGTGACATCATGTAGTGTCCGCACCTCAGTCCGGAGCTGCGCAGTAAAGCCTGTAGAACAACAGAACCCACAAAACTGCACGAATGGTTGCAAAGGTTCGGCACAGATGAAAATGGCAAGATTGTTCCATCATAAACATTGAGATGTACCCAACAGCCAGACTGGATCAGCACGGGCCAGATGCTGGACTGCACCTAGTGCCGAGGCCCTGCAATCGATTCTGCTGTTGCTGCTCTGCTAGTGAGCTAGTTGACACTGCTGCTGTGTCAGGTTTGCTGAGTTCATGTCACTCACCTCATTGGCAAACATGATGTGGCACATTTGCTGCACGTTGCTGCATGTCATCCCGGGATGTAAAGTCAACGGTTCTCATGCTTCGTTGTGCTTGCACAGGATCTCATCGGTTTCCGGAGTAGCACCCTCGATTCTGGACAGACCCCCGGTCACAGAGGCAGACGTGCACGTCAGACAGTCTCCGAGCAAGTTGGCCTACAAACCTGGAAATCCTCAAACCCAAAACCGAAATATTAAAGGCGAGGTACATTGGGGTTGGCTTTACCATCCAGAAGCAGCTCCACGACGGGATTGCTACCGCACAGGATTGCAATGTGGAGGGGGCAGAGGGCGGATGGCGACGTCTTGTGCGTCCTGGCAGGCCCCACTTTGCTTCTAGTAGCGTCGAAGTGCAGCAATCCCTCTCCTGGCTTTGGGATGTTTCCTGATTACCATCGACCAAAGGCTGTACCACAAGGTCCTTGCAACCAGTTGCGGCGAGTCTCGGAGAATGACTTCTGCAGCCTGCAACCACAGAACTCAGCACACAGATTCGCATTTACCAGATCTGCGAGTGATGCGGGCTCTTGACATGGCAACTCTCCAACCTGTTGGTAGTTTCTGATTCTGTCCGAGTTCTATAGCACTTGCTAGATAGGGGAAGCCACAACTTGGTGCTGTTCGCTCGGTCCAAAGTCCTGAGATCGAAAAGCTGCCTTCGTCCTACCCATCCGGAAAGCAATCGCCTCGACACTGCTTTGCAAGGCTGCAATGTGCAGCGGCGTGCAGTGCCTGGTCAAACCGAGCCGCAACGAGAACTGCGCGAATGGTAACTGCTTTCAATAGAGTCCACGAAAGTAGAGAACCGCCACGAGCTGTAGCAGCTTGGTGCAAGGCAGCACACCGCATACCACGACCACTGGTTTCCGAAACCAGAACAGGCAGCCAGCAATCCCGAACCTCCTAGCACCCCAAGCCCCTGAAGCGCTGCCGAAACCTGCAAATCTGCAAACGACACCTGTCCAAGCAAGCTAACATCAAATTAGTAGATCAATTCGGCCCAGACACAGTCGACCGTTCGGATCGCTGCGTAGCAGAGCAAAACACTTGCTGACAATGCTCAGTGTCATCTCCACAGCAGCCTGGTTCACAAAAATTGATGCTTTCCAGGGTTTGGCTTCAACATGAGCGGCCCAGGCTCAGAACTTGGATTCAGGAATCGGGGCAGGGATTCAGATTCGTGGCTACGTCGGGTGGTTGCGCTTCAAGGTTTGCACACCATGCACAGAGTGAAGTCCATGCAAGCTCTTCCCGAGCACTGAGAACGGGGCCAGCACTCGTTCTAAAAAACATGCAGATAATCAGAAAAAATCGTTGCAATGCTGCGCACCCGACATGCAACTACTGAACCCTGCTTGCTCTACAATGTGGACTCGCGGCGGGTTTTTGGATCGCTGTTTAGTTCCGGCCTTCACTGCATAGCCGCGCTCAAGGCGATTGAGACCTGTTCGACGGCGCCGAACAGCAAAGGAGCAGGCTACGTGGGAGGGGGAGGGGGACTCTCGGCGTCCAGTCTGTCGGCCACGGGACTAAGCTTTCAGGCTTGTTGGCAAGTCTTTACGTCTGGCAATCGGAACTCTCTGTGCTGGTCTGCAAAGGAATCCATAAGAATCCAGGCCTCGAT